ATTTGGACATGTGGAAGAGGAAAATGCTAGGTTTAAGATTTGTTATTGAAGTGTTTGTTATATAGCTTTGTTTAGATGTGTACAGTTTCATGTCTGAGAAGATTTCTCACCTCAAGTATGAATTTCTCAGGGAAGGTGTTACTGGAGAAGACTATTCATTAACTACAGTAATTTCTCGAGAGGAATATGCTAACAAGTATGGCCCTACAACTGGTGACAAAATCCGTCTTGGTGACACTAACTTGTTTGCTGAAATTGAAAAAGATTTTGCTATCTATGGTGATGAATGTATTTTTGGAGGTGGGAAAGTCATAAGAGATGGAATGGGTCAATCATGTGGCCATCCACCTGAGGGTTCCTTGGATACTGTTATAACAAATGCTGTGATCATTGATTATAGTGGAATTATCAAAGCAGATATTGGTATTAAAGATGGCCTCATTATCTCGATTGGAAAATCAGGAAATCCAGACGTTATGGATGGTGTATTTCATGATATGATAATAGGGGTAAGTTCCCTTCCAGATATCAGAGGCAATGAGTTGAATTCCTACCTCATTATCCTGATTTAACTTAGAAATACATCTTCCATATCTAGGCTAATACTGAAGTTATTGCTGGAGAGGGCTTGATTGTGACAGCTGGGGCTATAGATTGTCATGTTCATTTTATATGCCCTCAATTAGTAGATGATGCTGTAACAAGTGGTAAGTTTCATAACTTGAAGCAATTTCTACTAAGAGTGTGCATTACATGTATTTTTAAACATTTAATGCATTCTCTAGTTTGCTGGATTCATGACATGAAATTTTGGGAGTTGTTTGAGATCATTTGGTTGTGCTTAGCTATATTTTTATGCATTGAAAACTCCAGCTTTATTAAATTACTTATTCACCAAGCATCCTTCTGGATCCAAACTACTCATTGGATTTTATTTTGTCCTTTTCTGCATTTTTTATATAGGTATCACAACATTAGTGGGAGGAGGAACAGGGCCAGCTGAAGGAACACGTGCAACAACTTGTACACCAGCACCAATTCAGATGAAATTTATGCTGCAATCAACAGATGACATGCCATTAAACTTCGGTTTCACTGGAAAAGTCTGTTTCCTTTCTTTTGTTTAGTTCATATATATATATGATGTTTGTTCTGGTCTTGTTGCTTGTTTAGTTAGTTTTTTCACTTTTTTGCCTAATGATATGTGCTGGACCTCTAGAAAACCTCTATGTATGTCTAAAGTCAAATAAATCTTCCTTTCCTTGCTTCAGGGGAATTGTGCCAAACCTGATGAACTGCATGAAATAATCAAGGCTGGAGCTATGGGACTGAAGTTGCATGAGGACTGGGGAACTACACCAGCTGCAATAGACAGTTGTTTGACCATTGCAGAACAATATGATATCCAGGCACAACTTTGTTGAATAGTCTACTTATTTACTTTTATTATTTTTGTTGATTTTTACTGTGAACTTGTATAATAACAGGTTAACATACATACCGACACCTTAAACGAATCTGGATTTGTTGAACATACAATTGCTGCATTTAAAGGAAGAACTATTCATACTTACCACAGGTATATGTTAGCTTCAAAATATTTTATAAAGCACTGGTATACTATAGCATGATCATTATTTGTTAATAACTGTTGTAGCACTTGCTGAGGAAAAACATCCATTTTAATTTTATTTGTAAAGTTCATTATGTAGAAGTATTATCACAGCGAAATGGAGCTAATATATAATCACTTGGTAAAATATTGGTTTCCATCCTTTAGTTACTCTGGTCTTTTCAGTAATGTGAAATAGGCAATAGGTTAAACCTTTGTTTTTCCAATAATGGAATACTCACATTCACATCTATACGTGTCCTATGCTTTTGAATATTGCTCTCTATCTTTGTTTTAATTCTCAGCTCTTCTTTCTGGCCTCATGGGGTGTTCGAGTTGGATATGGTTTATTATATTCATGCTAACATCTGAAAGATTTTAAATTATTGATGCAAATAGACTATTATGATCTGTCTCTTCCCCTGAGAGCTCCACCATTCTTTCTTTTAACTATCTTTCTTTGGATCTGTTTCCAGTCTAAGATGGCTTATTCTTGACTTTATTATTTTCTTGGGCAGTGAAGGTGCAGGTGGTGGCCATGCACCAGATATCATAAAAGTATGTGGTGAGAAGAATGTCCTTCCCTCATCAACAAATCCCACACGCCCTTATACGTCTAATACCATAGATGAGCATGTTGACATGCTGGTATGAAATAAATCATAGAAGTACTAATGTACAGCTTGTGATATTTGGCTCTTAATTTACACTCATGATGTACAGATGGTCTGCCATCATCTTAAAAGGAATATTCCAGAAGATGTGGCTTTTTCAGAATCAAGAATAAGAGCTGAAACAATTGCTGCTGAAGATATTTTGCATGATATGGGGGCAATTAGCATTATATCTTCTGATTCACAGGCTATGGGTCGAATTGGAGAGGTCCTTCCTTAACTAAAGCCTATCTATATATACTTGATTGTGCTCGTATTTATTATGAAAAAAAAATGAAAGGGTGCTTGATAGCTCCAAACTAAATCCTGAAAATGAATTATGTGTGGCTGTAAATTTTTTTATCAATTTTTTTTTTCAGGCCCCTGTGTTATGTCCTGTTGTTAATGTGGCACCACAGAATTTCATAGTTGTCGTTTCACTTCATTTTTTGGTAGTAGACTCATGAAAATCACGATAATTTTTGTGATCCTCTTGATTATATTGTTGAATCATTTCTTCCTTAGGTGATAAGCAGAACTTGGCAAACTGCTGATAAGATGAAGTCACAACGAGGACCACTACAGCCTGGTGAAGAAAATGACAACTTACGGATCAAACGTTATGTTGCAAAGTACACCATAAACCCAGCTATAGCAAATGGTTTCTCGCAATATATTGGTTCAGTTGAGGTATGGTGTTTGAATGTCTAGTGCCATCAGTATTCAGTTTCCTATGATTAAAGATACAAAGAAAAAAGCGGTAGAAGCATACACTAAGTGAAAGGGATTTACATTTACTACCTCTTAGCAAAAGTAAAGCCCCAGTTTTCAGAAATCGACATATTGACTTTTTATATGTACATGTCTCTATATTTGGACAAAGTTAAATTAGTAGTATAATTTATATAAGTTGTGCTAATTGCACAACACATCTATGATCAGTTGTACACGTGGAAGCATAAGAATTCTTGGACTTGTGAAAACTTTAACCCTTGCATGATGCACAAATATGATAAGTTTTTTTATTTAATTTTCATTGCAGTATTAGTAATACTCTTCAGTTCTACAATACACTTGAGAAATTAACATGCTGAAATTGCATATTTCTTTCAATGAGTAAGGAGATAATAAAATAAGAGTGCAAAAATCGTTTCACATACAAAAATCTACGAAGGATTGAAAATTTTTCAGAACATCCTATATGAAGTGAAAAAAATCCCATTCTCATATATATATAATAAACGCATTGATGCTTCACTGGTCACAATTTAAAGCTCCAACCAAAAGTCAACTTACAAACAAAGAAACCTGCACTCAAGTACAAACCCTCTTGAATGACACTAACTTTATAGTTCTGTACTATTTTGCATCTAATACTACACTTAATAACCTCAATTTACATATCAAATTGGCAGCTATAAAGCTGATGCTGATCCTTCTAATATTAGTATCATCTCGACTGCCTCATTTAGACCTAGTTTTGCAGGTGGGGAAGTTAGCTGATCTTGTATTATGGAAGCCATCATTTTTTGGAGCTAAACCAGAAATGGTGATCAAAGGTGGTGAGGTTGCTTATGCTAACATGGGTGACCCAAATGCAAGCATCCCAACACCTGAACCGGTAATGTTTTCATATGTATTGAGATATGATCAATTGCCGACCGGTGCTTGTTAAATTACACTTTCAATAACTTATATAAAGTAAATTTTATCAATCTAAATAAAAGTGCTTCAACTAAACTAGGTAACACACTCTTGTAGGTGATTATGAGGCCTATGTTCGGAGCATTTGGCAAGGCTGGTAGTGCACACTCCATTGCTTTTGTGAGCAAGGCATGAATCAAACCCCTCTATCTTTCTCTTCACGTACATAACAATCCATGTTCATATTTGTGAGAAATGTTGACATTCTCTCTGGCGCTCTCAATCTAACATATTGGCTGAAATTTATTAAAAATTATTAATTTTGGTGGATCTCATTTTCTATTTAATGAGTTTCTCTTGATTTAGTGGTGAAATCCATCAAGATTTATAATTTCTAATAAATTTCAATCAATAATAAAGAGTGTCACTAACATTTTTCTCATATTTGTTTCTCTTCAAATTTTTCATATATATTCACATTACATGCTTTATCACAAGCAGGCAGCTTTGGATAATGGAGTAAAAGCTTCATACGGACTTAACAAGAGGGTTGAAGCTGTGGAGAATGTGAGAAAGCTCACCAAATTAGATATGAAATTGAATGATGCTCTTCCAGAAATCACTGTGGAGCCAGAATCATACACAGTGACAGCAGATGGAGTGGTTCTAACCTGCGCTGCAGCCACTACTGTTCCTCTTTCTCGAAATTACTTCATCTTCTAATAAACTCAAACTATGTGTTCAATACACAATTTTTATTGACAAAAACAATAAGCAAGCATGCACTTTGTCATCATGGATAGCCAAAACTAAAAATTTCTTTACTGCTCTCATCACGTTACATAATTGCATCCTACCAACGACTCTATTTTATTTTACACGTAATTTATGGTCAAGGTTTGTGGGTCCTTATCATGAGAAATTATCAAGTGGGGAGTATCATGCTCTCCACTTGACACAAGTAGCTGAGTTTTATTAATTCTCTCTCATAAATTAAAAAATAAAAATGTATATGATATAGAGATTGAGATTGGTTAAGACTATGACACTAAATATATCTAATAATTTCTCCCCTATCAACTTTAGCACCAGAGAAGTTCACTTGTCAGGTTATATCAGATAATATCAAATTACATTTTTTGGTTTGATTTTGTGTGAGTCGAAAAGGATTTTAATGTTTTTTTATTATTTGTATCTAACTTCACGACAGAATATTGTGTCCCTGCAAACTCATAAAACTTTCTATTATAAGACATGTTGGCCGGCCAACGGCATGATTTTAGTAAATGATTTTACATCCGAAATGACTCAAACCAAACCAAAAACATGTTATGTTTAGTTTCCCATTTACAAAGAAAACTATTCCTCATTTCTTAATCTTTAGAATTTCAATGTAAAAAAACTAAAAGTCTAGATGGAAAAAGTAGATAGGTACTTACGATTGTTAATCGAAGAACTCTCTAATCTGAAGTTACAACTAAAGTATTATTATAAAATAATTGTGGTGTTAATTCCAACTTTGGTACTTATCCTGATCGGTCGTAGTGCTAAATTCTGATTGTAGTGTTGATCCTTGTATATATATATTGCTTTGCTTCACTATTCCACTTTCGTCCCTGTCAAAAGTGAAAAACAGTTTAATGGTGTTCTCTTTTCACCTGAAATTCAGAAATCGCCACACGATGCCGTTTTTCGGGTCCTTAGATTTCATAAAAAAGAAAGTCATGGCCATACAAACAGAGCAACCTCTTCCAACTCACACTAACACACCCTTCCTCACTTCTAACTCAAACCAAAACCAACACCACCAACCGCATGAAAACAACAACAATGAAGAAAGTGAAACAGCCCTTGATGATGTCCTTGCACGTTTAGAAGCGCTTCTCACGCTACTTTGCTTCAAGCAGAGTTCATTGTGGAGCTTCACGGCGTCTTGGACAGCTTTCGCGGCGGTGGGTGTGGCGGCGCCGATGGTGGCTCTTCAGGTGTACGACACTGACAAGAATCAGATAAAGGGTTTCGAAATTGGCATTGTTGCGTTTCAGACTTGTCTCGCAGCGGTTTCCTTGATATGCCTCTCTCACAATCTTCGCAAGTATGGACTCACCAGGTTCCTCTTCGTTGACCGCCACGCTGCTCAAATGCCATGCTTTCACCATGATTACGTTAAACAAATTTCGGTGAGGGTTGTCACCAAGTTGAGTCAAATTTTGAAACTTTTGCCTTCATGTTTGCCTTCATGTTTGAGTTTGGTGAAGTTTGATTATCTGGGTTTGTGTGCTTTGGTGTGAATGTGATCTTTGTTGGTGCCAGCTTGTGTGCTTATTTTGGTAATGTAACCTTGTTTAAGGTTGTGGGGTTCTTCCTATTTTGATACTCAATCACATGATACGATACCATATGGTTCTGGCTGATAAAAGATGTGGCTACATGTCCGGTCAGAATCATATGATCTCAAATTATGTAATGGTTTGTCTTCTAACACATGAATTTTTATTTTTACTTTTGAAAATCATGCATCCCTGATCTTATACAATATGTAATAGTGCACACTTATAATTTTTTTAGTTTTTATTAAGTTTTAACTAATAAAAAAAATTATTCGAAAGAGTTTTGTTATAAGCACTTCTCTTTATAGTTTTTTGGAGGAGAGGAATTTAGCATCATTGCAACTTGCCAGACTGCTAAAATGCTGTTTTGGTCTTAGGGGTCTTTTCGCTTGATCATTCTGTGGGTGTTGTCATGTTTCCTTTTGAAGACAGCCCGAGAAATCACTCGCCTTTCCTTGGTAGAAGAAGGATCTTTGTGGCTCTCTGTTGCTGTTTTGATGGCTTTGATTGTATCTTGGACTTATGTCAGCGCAATCTCTTTATCGGCCTGTGTTCTATTTCACTTGGTATGCAGTTTGCAACTCATTCACTTTGATGATTACGGGAAACTCTTGCAAAGGGAAAATGATGAGTTGATTTTCATGGAAGAGCACATTCGGTTGCGATACCATCTGTCCAAGATAAGCCACAGGTTCAGAATTTACCTGCTTCTTCAGTTCTTGGTCGTCACAGCTAGCCAGTTTGTGACTCTATTACAGGTCACTGGGTATGGTGGAGTTCTGACTTTCATAAATGGTGGAGATTTTGCTGTAAGTTCAGTTCACTGTTCAAAATAGTTTATGTAATTAAATTGAAGGACTTGGTTCCTTTTCTTTTGGTCAAGCTATCCTGCTTGCTTTGTTTCAGTACTTGATAAGCCATTGTTCTTTTTAAGGTTTAATTACTGTTTTAAATTTATAGTATCATGAAGTTCACCTTTTAGTTCCTATATTAAAATATTTTATTTTTATCTCTCTCTCTCTCTCTATCTCTCTCTCTATATATATATATATATTATTTTTTTTTCTTTTAATCACTAATTTCATAAATTTTACCTTTTAATTTATAGATGATAGGGACTAAAAAATAAAAGCAAAAATGGTATATATAAAAAATAAAAAAGAACGTTTTTAACTATATAAACTAAAAAGTTAAGTTTATGAAACTATAGAGATCAAATTGAGTAACTAAACATTAATTTTAACTTTTTTCGAGCTTCAAAATATGGATCTTAGTTTTGGATTCCATTTCTTTTTTCGTGTCCATTGTTTCAGGTTTCCACACTTGTTCAGGTGGCTGGAATAATTATTTGTCTGCATGCAGCAACAAAGATTTCACACAGAGCTCAAGGCATTGTCTCACTTGCAAGCAGGTGGCATGCGCTGGTAACATGCACTTCTGAAGCATCTAAACTGAGATATTGTTCTAGTACAGGAAGCTTGGAGGCTTCAAACCATTTGAACTCAATATCTTTGAATTACTCGGAAAGTGATCTAGAGTCATTGGATCACCTCGGGACGCCTTCAAACGCGCTCTTGGCTTCGTGTATGACCTCACATCACAAGAGGCAAGCCTATGGTACGTAATACAACCTTCAATCTGTATGCGACCAGATTCAGTTCAATTAAATCATTCAAGCATTTAATAATATAACCAACTTCAAAATTCTTTCTGTTTATTATTAGCTGTCCACTTAGGAAGATAACATACAAATTACGAAATATAATTAATATTTTCAATTATATTAAATCATTTTTAATTTTCTAATGTGACCCTCGCTATTATTTCTCTCATGATAAATTTGTAAAGTACATAAGAATATTTTAAATTATATTAAAAACATTTTAACTCCCTAATATGACCTTCATTATTATTTCTATCATGATAAATGTGTAAAGTATATAAAAATTAGTTATACAAGAGTATAATTGATTAGATAATAATAATAATAATTGTTTTGAACTTCCAAATGGACAAATAAATAAAAACAAAATTTTCTATTAACAATAAACTAATAGAGTAATAATTATTATTTGAACTTTCTCTTGATGAGTAGCATAAATCAATCTTCTGCGTAATTTTAGTTAGTGCATTTCCAAGATAAGTCAGCGAACACACTTTTCTTGCTCCTATGCTTCAGTTCTTCATATCTTCGGCATCCCAATCTTAATTTTATGTTTCTTGCAAAATTATCAGTTTGCCAATTCTATTTTGATATTGACCAATAAATATTTATTTTTTCTGATTGAAGCTATTGAATGTATACTATAAACATGTTTTAGATAACAGGAATCATATACTTATACACGCCGCTGAATGTGCAGTGATGTATCTGCAGACGAATGCAGGGGGAATTACTATATTTGGTTGGACAGTTGACCGGTCTCTTGTGAACACGATATTTTTCTTTGAATTGACTCTGGTAACCTTCGTTCTTAGCAAGACAATACTCTAACCAAATGATAAAATTCACTCTACGGCCTTGGAATTGGCCTTGGGTCTTCTAGGTTACCATGATAAACTGATTGAAAGGCCCCACGAATTCTACAACTTTTCCATGCGACCAAATTGGGTACAAGACAATGAATGACGACATGGCAGTTTCTTAATACATAAGACCTGAACAACATACGAAGGATGCATCATACAAGAGAATTGCCTCAACAATATTCATACTATAACATCATTCCAGGGTGGCTTATAGTGAAACCTCCCTTAATCATTTATGTTACTTAATTATTGCTGCTTACAATATTTGATATTTGATATTGTTCAACTCTGAATTTCTTTCGTGATGAACTATATTTAACAATCTTTTAAATCTGAATCCCAATTTATCAGGATACGCTCCTCCATAGAGGATGGAAACCAAGATTCATTGTCCACAAACCAACCTAGCTACCCATTTGGAAGGTGTACACTAAACTAAGTGGGTAAATAACCAATGCTAAGATGTTCACACAGCAGTACACTATTATTATTAAATAATGGCAGCATACCATCGTGTCATTGCTGGCCATTTAAATATTTGAAAATAACGAATTCACTAGCCATCATCCTCCCAAGAAGTCATCGCATATAACAATCACATCACTAGAACCTCTCAGGTAAAACTATTTGTAAGCTCACTTTGTGTAAAACTGTCAAACAAAACTAATGAAAAAAATTAATGACTTTAATGATTTTTTTCACCACCTGTGCAGTGCGAAAATGGAGGAAGAACAGCCCACTTTGTATATCCTGGCGAGTCCATATTTCAGTTGTACCAAATTCCATGATGATCCCACTTTTAGGTTGACAATAACCACCATATTATATAAAGACATGAAATAAAAAAATAAAGGAAAAAAAAAAAAAAAAAAGACAGTTCTAGAAAGTGGTAAAATGACAAACATAACTAGACGTGTTCTGAAGCGGCGTGACATGTCTAAAGCCATGATGAAGTGACCAGAAAATAGTACATTTTAATTCTATCAGCAAATTACACCGCAGCTGCTGCAATTTGACTCCTTCAAAGGATAAAATATTATCGGAAGTAACATGTTACATGTCCCAGGTACACACGAGACACGACATTTTCATTTTATTCTAGATAGATTTAAGTAAAATCTATGCGGATTACAAAGTCTTCACTCAATATGATCTATTCAATCAAGCCCACTCAAATTGATAACCATTAATTAAATTTTATGATTTAATAAAATGAGATCCGGTAAATAACAACAAAATCTACTATGGACCTAGTTTGACTTTGACACCAACCAATCAGAAAGAGTCGATAATATCTACAAATTGAAAATTAATCAATTTTCAACTTGATTTACCATCAAACATAAACATGAAAATTTTAGAATCTTGCTCAATTATATATCACTAACTTAATCATTCGGGAAATTACACAACTTTATTTTTTAACGTACAAATCTCACTTACAAGAAGTCCTTGTGTAATGTTTTTAAAACAATTAAAGATATCAGTGTAGGAGTAAAAAAAAGTGAGGAGTGTGTGTATAATTACATGAAACCTATGTAATTTATTCTTAATTATTTGGTGATGATGATGATGCACATTTGACTGAACTTAACTAAAAAATATGGTCTCAATTGTTAAATCCAGAACAAATTAAAATTTAGAAATCTATAAATATTTTTCACCTTCAAATTTCACTATTTATTGAAAAAAAAATTAGGCCCTCCTTTTTTATTGTTCCGCTTAACTAATATAAATCTACCTGCAATCTAAATTAAATATTAACTCTCCTTCTCTTGATATAATAATTTATTTCAATAAGTAATTTAATTTAACTTATTCACTTTTAACTTTTACTTTTTATCTTAGTTTAAAAACTATATATATATATATATATATATATAGTGCCATTGGTAATGATTCTACTACGGTGCCATATATAT